TACGAAAAGTCGCGTTTTTCAAATCCTTCGTAACGAATATGATGCTACAATATTGAATCTTTTTCGCAACCAAATCGATTTAAAATATGAAACATTATTGGAATTGAATTCGCCCGGTTGTTTGGTAATACAGGATTATACCAAAAGAGAAAGTGAGCCTGGATTTTTCGATAGGCCATAGGCAAGAAAGTTTTAAAGCCTGCTATGTTTTCTCGATCTTTAATATGTTTGTAAAATGTGATTTAAACACAAAGGCAAAAATTTAAATAATACCTGCACATTTACATAGCCACTGAAACAATGCCAAAAAAATTAAATTTCAAGAGAAAAGTTTATTGAGACACCAAAACCCCTTATGTTGTAGTCAAGGACCACTTATGCCTTAATTTTGGTGCGTGAGTTTGAGGTAGGGCTTTTGTTTTCAATTGAAGCAGGCAGATGATATCCGACCAGCAGCCGGCAAATAATTGTTGTGCGACCAAAGTGTATAGGGTAAATTTATCCCAGTCTGGGGTAGAAATTAAAAATGTTTCGTATTTGTTTAAATACGCACATTTGAAGGAATATCTGGCTTCTGTCTCATCAAGTCTATTGCATTTAAAAAAGAAGAAAAATTATGGAACATGTAGCAATACAGAACAGCTGGCTGAGCTGTAAATGCTGTGTGAGTTGCAGTGAACACTGGCTGAGCTGTCAGTACCGAGTTGAATTGAACGCTGGCTAAACCATATATTATGGCTTATTTAAAGTGAACGCTGGCAGAGCTGGATATGCTGTCGAAGGAGTAGCAGCCAGACTAATTTCGACAAAAACTCATCACGGCAAATATTTCTATTTTTTCACTGAAGCTGAAATTCGTGGCTAACTCTGGATTAAAGGCTAAGAAACAAATGAAATAAATGAATAATCAGTTGTATAATGTATTCAGAAAAAAACTATATATTCACGCAATTCGTTTAAAATTGCATCTAAACATAACTATGTTTACATATTCACATACAAAAGCAGCACACATACATCCACGGCAAAATGTGCTCCTTTGTAGGTATGTGCTACGTGGAGGTGTGTACAAAGCACATACTTCCACGGCTATTTATGGCAAAATAATTTTATCACCTCATCCTTTAAATAAAAATGACAATTTAAAATTTCTGACAATAAACGATTTATGAAATGAAAATTACCGCCTAATAATTTCACATTAATACCTTGATTACCTTGAATAATAACGATTTCTGTCCCTTACAGCATTCATGATCAATCAACTTTAGAGTATTTTATGTGAAACGAATTAATTTGCGGTTGGTTGATATTATTCGTCAGCTTATATCTGTAGTATATATTAACAGTTCATATCTAACGTAAAATTCGCTAGAAAATTACTTTGGTTGCCTGAGGCCGCTCCAAAACACTATTACACAGGATTAAATGAGTTTTTATGCATTATTTATTTTTACAATGTGCCTGAGATACGAAACTAAAAAGTACATCATCCATCGAAAAAATGCTTGTCGAATCTTTCAAAACGTGTTTGGTACCTGCACTGATGATCCCCGTGTTTTACCAGTAATAACTAAACACGAACCTATACGAGTAAAGACAACACCGGCCGCTCTTAATTGGAAGGAGTTGAGATCCAGAGAATGTAAACCGAGTTTACTCTGTATGCTGTAGTGAGACGAACAGGGAAATAAATCCTGCCTATGACCGATTAGGATGTCGAAAGAGGAGAGACAAGGCAATTACAGGGCCAACGTAATACACTTATTGCTCCAAACAATATACGAAAATGGAAATGTTCTGAACGATTTATTGTGAGTATATTATTTGCCCACATATTACTGGATGCCACTCATTCTTGTTCTTCGGCATGCATCACGTGTCAAAAAGGTGTCCAACAGAGAGAAAAATGTTAGACTGCTTAAAGTTCAAAATTTATGTTGATCATGCTATATTTTCAAGAGATTGGAGAAGTGATGCAAACAACCAAGTGCATGATAAAACAATTATACCCCCTCAAAGGGCTTCCACAATTACATGGAACTACGGCCAAAGTTAACTTACTGCGTTTTGTTTAAATTTTATATATTAGACATTATTTGAGTTGATAGCAGAACCATCTACAGGTATAGGTAATAAAGTGACAGTAACAATTGCACTGGTTAGTGTAATTGTATTTTAAGAAGGTAGTTTATAATAATTCCGTAACAATTTTTCGATGGAATTTTCCTTTGGATGTGCTACTCACTAAAGATGCAGATGTCGCAACGATAATACTTGCACAAGTTTTCTGAATGCAGATATATAGTACTGCCGGGCTAGCAGAGCGTAATTCTAGAATATCAGGCACCTTTCACACAGGTAGTAAATACCGTCAGCGTCCGACGGTATTTACCTCCGAACCTTAGCGAACATACAAAATGCGCACTGCATGCTGTTCACACACGACGGCTTTTAACGGGGCGTAGAATTTGATGCCTGACGCCCGCGTGTGTCCTGCTTAAACTGCAGCGGCAGATTTGCCGCGACAGTTTAACTTGCAATGGTATTCAATGTAATCTTTCACACAAGGCGGTTTTTGACGCCACGTCCTAGTGTGGTACAGATAGTGGGACCGTATTTTAGATGCATAATAAACAGCACTGCAGGAATGACACTGGGTGCGTACCGGTACTTAGAAAAAAATTTCTATGAATCTCCGTGACCATCAATATAATTTTCCAAGACTCGTATACGATAGGTCTAGCATGACTGAAAAACTAACCGTGCATATTCTATCATCTCCTACAGTTGATAAACAACAAATGGGTAAATGCATAGAGCAGGCGAACAGTGCATGAGAATCAAAAATGACATATCTGAAAATCAAGCCCACACTGGAAATATTATGAATTCAATAGTGTCAAATCGCAACAAATACTGTATTGATCAAGGCAAACAAGATTACATATGATAATGTCAATACAGCTCAGAACACTCTTCAACGCCACAACCCTAACATTCACCTGCAGCTTTTTCATCAACTTTTTCTTCAATGTTCAGTTCAAGAGTGTCTAGTTCCTGTTGCTTTGTTTTCAAAGATCGTCTCATGACGTTGAACTTGGCGACAATTTTCAATTCCCCCTTTCTCTCCATTGCTTCTGCATATTCATCTGCTGCTTGCTCAAGCGTCTTGATGCCCTCCTCCGTACGCCTTTTCTTCTTCTTCAGTTCATCAGCTCATTCAACAGAGCCTTCCTCTTCTGGGTTTTCTGGGCCCTCGCATTCTGCTCTTTCTCTTCTGTCAAATAATTATTGTAGGCTGTCTTGGTACTACCAGCTGCAAGCAGCATCTTCTTGGCGATGGTCATCTTGTACAGGGCACCTACATGTGCAAAATGATCAACCACAGCACGCAGGGCAACCGCCGATCGCTTTTTCATGTTATGTGTCATGACTTCCTTCTTGAACGAAAACCCTCTTTCAACCGTGTCTTGGCCACGAGACTGGAGCATGAGAATCTGCACTACATTCCAGAGCTTCTTGTAGGTGCTCTTTGACAGAATGTCATGCCAAAAAGTGTCTAGTCGATCAGAAGTTGAAAATGCTCGAAAATGTGCGTTCAGTTTACTGCAATCTTGTGATTCATCTCTAAAGTTGCACATTTCATCGCACAACACCATCCACATTTGTGTTAGGGCATCTCGTGGCAACAACAAGCAAAGTGAGACGGTTCTTCAAACGTGTCTTGTCGGCTTCCTTCCAGTCCTTCTTGTTGAAGACTTTTGGCACCAAGGCCATCTCAGGTTCCTACCAAAGACTTACCTGATAGCCTGAGTGATAGGGCTCTTGTCCAGTAGCTTTTGGACTACATCCTGCATGAAGTCCTGCGCTCGTGTCTTGACAGTGAGAACTTGCAGTGCTCGTGCCTTCTAGTCTGCAAGCTTTTTTTTTGTCCTGGCCATGTAACCAATATCAACCTTACTGAGGGAAATCAAAACGCCTTTTGTTTTATGGCTTTCCATGACCTGAAATGAAATCCCATGACTTTCCAGGTTTTCCATGACCGGTACGCTCCCTGCTGATAGATAATTATAGACTGATACTGTCACATAAATGTCGGTAAATAAACATTGTTGCAAAAACATTGTTACATAAGTATTGTTACATGCTCATATCGATATACATTGATAAATATATATTTCCCTAAAGTGATAGAGATATATATGATGGAAGATATATTTTCCATAAAATATATAGGTATTTCCATAGAGATGTATTCACATTATTCTCACATAGAGATATATTTCCATACCGAAATGTTGTTACCTAAACATAGAGATGGACTGATGGTTCATAAAACAGCACTGCAAGACTGATAGATTCCAGCGTTAAAAACCGCTTCGTGTGAAAGATTGCGCGGTAAACACCGCCGCGGCATATTTGACGCGCGCGGTATTTGCCGCCCTGTGTGAAAGCTGCTATAAATCCGATGAAACGATATCCAGAATCTCGCACAGCAGTTTTTTATCCAAATTAAGCGCGTCAAGACAATGAAGTCTGTTTCAGTGAAGATAATTTTTGGAACGCTACTCATCTACCAATTAATAGTTAGAAAACTCGTGCAGCTAACGGATGCTAATTACTAAATCAGGATCGATTCCTTTGAAGTAAGGTTTTATTTCTTGATGGACCGTAGGCGCCATCAAAAAATAGTGTTTCATTCAATGATTATAAGTTTAACACGTACGCAATATTTCGTTGCTGTAACTGTGTTTATTGAAACATTGAATGTTTGAGATACGTTTTACTTTACTTACTAAGCTGTGAATCGAAGGTAATTCCAAACATATAAATAATGAAATATTCATATGCGAACGTTTATTACGTTCCAGGCTTAATAAAGCTGAGTAAAAAATATGTTTTTTTAAGACACGCAGGTGAAAAACACATATATGAAAGAGGGAATTAAATAGTAGCTTCAATGTAATGAACAGACCAACTTTTTCAAGTTCCTTGTTTTCAATAGAGGTAATTGGGTAAGGACATTTTTTATGGTCTATTGCATAAGTTTTGGCCTGGATTCCAGTTATGATAATAATCACTCACTATCAGTATTGCTGTATTCATATATTCATTAATGTTGTATGATATTAGAATATTGAATATAGTTTCAGATCAAATTTAACATGACATTTACTATGAAATTCTCTTGCAATGATCTATGAAGTTAAACAAAGAGTCGCTGAACACCCCAATACGCCAAGGAAAATATTGATTAGTTGATTTAAATTGACGTAGGTGGTCATGTTGGAGGTAAGAACTACTGTGGACGTTGAGAATTGCCAGAAAGTCAGTAAGCCACGGTAGGATTTAGCCGTGATTTCTTCATCTGGACGGCTGGAGTCCAGTAAGGAGCTGGAGAGCTCCTCCAAAGACGTTCTCCCACTACCTCCAAAGACGTTCTCCAGAGTCGGTGAAGCACGTGATCGAGTTTCCGAGTCCCGGCGTCTTCGGCGTTTGTTACATAGTCCGGGTTGATTGACTACGAAGCGAAAACCATCAGTATTACACAAAATATACCTGGGGCAAAAAGTGTTCACAGCCATAATGGCATTATAAGATGAATTATTGTTAGGGTCGTGTTTTTTCTTAAAGCAACATCAAGTTTAGTGTAACTCTCAAAGCAACGTTCAAGTCAAATCTGCTTTCAAACACTTGGGCGAAGTTTGGTTCTCTGACAATTTGTTAGATTGGCGATACTTCGCTGATGGTCATTACGTTCTGTATAGCTCGTTCCTTCTGACTTCGTAAACTATCTACAACATTAGGTCTCTGGCAATTCACTAGCAGCCGTACGCCCTCGCGTTTCTTATTTTGTCTCTCATTAAAATGAAAGATTAATTATTTCATTTGTGGCTTTTTACATGTTCGTTATTCCTTAGACTGTAGTACACCAATTTAATCATGTTTGAGACACGTTAAATAAAAATGTTTAGCTGTTTAAAACCACTCAAGTTGGGATTAGAACAGCCTGAGATTATGATGTATTTTTTAACTTTTACTATGCAGACCGCACTCTATCTCAGTTGATAAGTCACTTTACGTACTGGGCTCATTATCTGCCACATTAAACTCATCAAAGTAAACTTAGTCCTTCAACACATATTATCTGAAATACATTATTTAGTTATATTTTAACTACGTTTTTCCCGAGATCAATCAGCTTCCGTTATCCGCTAATGAGATCAACAATCGAGTCTAAAGTTCATGGTACAATAATTAAAACACTTAAATAAAACAGGCTATGATTTCGAAAAAGTGCGTACGATTCAAATATATGCTTTATTCATCTTGATTTCTGAAGGTTGATAGAAAAATTATTATGTGTTGAGATATTAACTACAAATTTTAAACTCTAAGTCATTTCTTTAGCCGAAAAATTCGATATTCATTTTGCCTGGATCAATTCTGAAACAGGTGTAGAATACATCAACTGGTGTTTTTTTTCAAACGAATATTAAAAAATGCTTTAAAATATTCTCTTAGTGAAGAGAGGATTCAAAGTGCTCATTAGGAATGCAGAGAGCTCGTGGAAGTACTCACTATAAAAGCAAACCCTAGCTGGACTAGTACTAGTGGATAAAAGCTAATGGAATCACTGACTAGAAATGAATGTATTGGCGGAGGTAAAGTAATTTAGTGGAGGTACTCGCAGAAAATATATGCCATTTATATGTTGTTGGGTTAACGTGATAATTTATATACTCACTAGTAACGCATGTTAACGGGGTAGTGGTGGTGGATAAAGTTAGTTGTGTAGAAGTTGATTGTCCGAACAGTCGAGCTTCTGAAAAATGAATAGGCACACGAAAAATTAATATGCAGTTCTCTGTTGGGTTGCTATTAGTGGCCTGTTTGACTTGGCGCTCGTAAGTCGAATTTTTCGATCTAAGTCGATGTCGATCATCTAAGTCAGTTGCCGTATAAGTCTGAGTTAAATTATTTTTATGAAAGATACAGTCAAAAAAATTGTTTGCTCATAAATTAAAATAAATGTATTCAGGATCATTAATACCTTCAAAGATTTGTGGCACCGCTGCCGTCCCTATCGTCATCTTCACGACTGCTCTTGTCGGTGCCTTCGTCATCGTAGTCACTGCCGCGGTCATCGCGATGAACGAAAGGAAAAAGGGTGCGCCGTGCATCTGTGGAAACGAGCCTAGAAGAAATAGAGTCATCGAATGCCCTAACCTCCTTACTTAATTATTAGATATTCTGATTGGTATGTGCGGAAGATGCGTGTCTATAATTTTCAGGCTGGTATGAAAATTTTGAAACTGATGAATAAAATTGAGTTGACGCTTTAAGCAACTTAAACTGCATTAAGCAACTTTAAACAACTTCCGTTAAGTTAAACTGGAAGATAAACTATTCCAGCTCTCCAAGTTAATAGTATTTCATTGAATGCAAGGTGGGAGATGAAAATAGTAGGAAAAGGAAAGCACTGAAAATTTAAAATTTAAATTATTCAAGTCTCAGAACGTTAGACAAAGCGAAACGCTTAAACTTATGAACAATAACCGGACCAATCAGTTATAGAAAAGACTCTAGATTTTAGTCATATTTATTAGTAAAAATGGAGACGTTTAAATTCCACCAGCTCACAGAGTGGCCACATCAATTGTTTTTTACTCAATTGAAACTAAACAGTGCAAAGTTTGAGAATGTTAGTGTTTCTTGTCTCTAGAACATAATCTAAGAACGGATGAGAATTCGGAAAATTCCATGTGAATAGTCATGTTTACCAGCTAACGAAATTGAATCGGAAACTACAGTAAAAACATATAGTGGTCATAATAAATTAAGACCTCATGATAATTTCTAGTAACATAAATAATGAAAATTGGATTTCATGAAATATTCATCGAATCCTAAGACGTGTGAACGGAATCTTCTTTGCCTATTCTAGTTGGCTTACCTGCGGTAAGAACTAATTTATTTACTTCAATTGTATTTTTCTGTACATGATAAATGCCTGCACCCTCTTTTCTCCTGCGTTTTCATCTATCAATACGTATTTATTCCAACGTATCTAGATTTATCCTCCGTTATCATTGTTCAATTGAGTCTATTCATTAGACCTGACGTAACATTAGCTTTCTAGCGGTCAAACCCTTTATTAATAAATTTTAACGATTTATGTACTAACGAGACTTCCGAGACTCTTACTTACGAGACTTTTGTGACGAGGGAATTAACATCGCCGTGGATAAAAGGCTAAACTATTTCCTTGGAACTCTAATAGCCTTGAGACATCGGCGAGTTACTGGCTGGCTCTTTCAAGGCAAGGGACACCGACTTACCGTGTACGAGGATGTGATCGTCCAGAAGAAACTGTACTCCTCGGACGACAACGCTTCTTTAAATCCTGGACTATAACGCTGACGTTATACGTACTCGTATTTCATCATGCTATTTTCCTCCTTGATCAGAAGAAAGTTTTCGTGTTCGTGGTAAAATTCGGCAGTAACAATGTTTTTTTGTTTCTGATTGCGAAAATTACATTGTGGAGATGAAAAAAAAAAACTAGAAACCATTGCAATGCGATTCCACTTCGAATGTCGCTTGAAATAAGTGGATACAGATTTGAAAACTTAGACTAGGATCGTGAACAGGTTTTCATCATGTTATTATTAACTTGTTGTGAAAGTGAAACAAATTTTTTCACAATTTCATCTATTAATCATTGATCAGAATAATATCTAACTTACAATTGTTTTTCTTTTGGTGCTCAAAATAATTGTTGTACATTGAAAACATTATTAAATTTACGAATAATTTATGTGATTACACTAAGTTCAAAAATTGGTGTAATTCCAGTATGGAAATTTGTTATGTCGAGTCAAAGGCGATAGGTATATACTTCGTGAACGCCAAAATTATATTAAATACATTATCGAGGACAATTTTGTGGGACAACTAAATAACATGTGTTATATCTCAAATTAACCAATCGATGGAACTCGATCATCAGACTTGCTCGTTTGAATGCTTTTTAATAATTGAAATTTAAATGTCCTGGAATTTTCGATTAATTAAAGAGGTGCGTAAAGAAGACAATTTCCACTTCATCATAGGGTTTTAATGGTTGTAGTTAATTAGGGACACTATTTAGAGATGCAAAAATTATGTAAATAATCATAATTAACTCTGCTTTCGCATTAAATTATCAAGAAGTCATGTTTATCACTGAGGAAAAGGCAAATCTTACACTCAAAATACAAATATAATGAGTGATATATACAATTATTATATGCATGCAATAAAACTTTGTCCCGAGATGAGGTAGATAATTACTTAAACTCATTCGCCACACGTCGGAAGAATCGAAATTGATAAAATACATTCATCAATAATAAAAATTAATGTTAACGTGAGATCTTTTCGTTTACATGTGTTTGCAACTTTGGCTTAAAAATTAACAAAAATATAACATAAAATTTGTTTACTATTAGTCAAAATTTTTCTTTTCTGTTCCATTAAGGAACAGGCAAATCGTAGCATATGTGAGATGTGCGTATGTGTTATCTAAATAATAGTGTTGTCAATTTAAGTATGAGTTCGAAACCTGGGAGACCAAAGGGCTGCCGGCGCGATGCTAACGGTTGATCTGTATCGGTTATATAAGTGGTAGGATGTTGACAGGTGACTCATTTTCCAGCAGCAATGGATCCTGCAAAAACATGTCAGGTGCTATAGCTCGGGTCCCAGAACCGCATTCCATTTCTAAATTTAATGCTGAGATGTAGAAGTAGAAATCGGGGCATGTCCATTTAGCGTTTTTTAGGAGATGTCAAGACACGCAAGTGTTGTATCAGTGGTGGACTATAGAAAAGTGCCTTATAGGTGCTCGATAGGTAGGTAGTGAAAAAGTTAAAGAATATGCAATCGATTCATTTTACTAAACCGTTACTCAGCCTGGAATAATACGATTTCAACTCTATAGTTGCGCTTGTGGATGACCGCTAGCTGTTTCAATGGTGCAGTTATTTGTTTTTCGACATTGCAATATGATTTAAATTGGCCTCACGATATCGAGGTCAGTTTATCCTAAGCCAAGGATGAGGCGATCTCATGTTTTTTTTCAGTCATGCATTCGCTTAATTCTAACTAATACTGTACATTTCAAAAACGAGTTGGATAATATGGGATTAAATTCCATCTTGAACATGCAAATGCCAATTTTCTGGAAGAACACTTCCAAACACAGTGTTCCTCGCCAGTGTCGAACCGAACATTGATCGATACCACTTCAAGATTACTTAAGATTCTCTTTCTAAAAATTCGTATATCAATTATATTAAGAGAAAATATTGAATGGAAGATTATAAATGTGGATAACATCTTAACCTCAATCTGAAAATTCAAAATAAAGAGGAAAATGTAGAGAAATTGAAAAACATGGTCTAACTCTTATCTTTTTCTCTGAGTGCGCTGTGCTCAGTTGGAGACAACACCCACCTCTCTTTGTCACATCCAATTTGAATTGTTTTTAAGAATATAAGGTTTTTATGCGATTTAATATTAATATACTATAAATATTTAATACTAATATACTAATATCAATACTAATATTATTTAATATTTTATTTTAGTAATATTTAATGTGGGTACTAATTAAATCTAATATAATATATTAGATTCAATATTAATATACTATAAACGCGATTCAAGTATATATAAACGTTCATTAAGACCCCAAGACCAAATCAAAATGATTATTTGCCTACTTTGAGTGGAAAGTAAGTTTGTTAAGCATTACTCACATTAAGGAATTTGCATTCTTTCATCGACTTAAATTCGTTATTGATGGATACATTTACTCTCGAAATGTTTTATTCACGCGAGTGTTACACGAATATGCTTAACGTCTTATCCGCTAACTAAGAATCTTTTATATGAAATAGGTGCACTGTTTGCAATAATATGACTGTAGTAAACATACTTAGCACTTGGAATAGGGGATAATGTGTATATACTTTGTTTTCATAGGCCTTATTTCTCGCTGTTGCTTCTAAAAGAAAAGCGCATTATCATATAGCTTGTTATTCAATGATGCGGAGTTTATACACTAGCTGTAATAAGACTGTAAGTTCTCGGTTGAATTTAATTTTGGAGCAAATTTCTTTAAATAAAATACTCTTTTGATAAATATTCCAAAATCTATAAGGAGTAAAATCTAGCTTGGTATATTTTTTTCTCGTGAAATATACTCAACTTTTCATTTTTGAGCACACGAGAACAATAATGCAAAACAAAATAACCATAACACGATGTTAGCAATAATGATGAAGTGAAAACATCTGTGGACGTGGCGTATCGCATAAAAGTTGAGAAGCCAGAAAAGTTTTGACCCTGCTAAAGTCGAATAATCTCAAGTCCAGCAACCCCCAACAAAATTTAGAGCTGGGGGCGACTCAGAAACAGAAACGCCTAGGACTCGGGGAACACATAAATCAGTATCTCCATGTTCGCTTTTTGGTCAAGATTCCGATCCCTTGTCAGACAGATACGAGAGTTTGGTCCCGACTGTGGCGACTTCTGAGCGGTTCGCATGGAGATCGTTCCCGTATCCGGGGCAACTCTGGCCGAGTCTGACAGTGCGATAAAAAATCGCCCCCCTTCCACTGCGGTCAGAGGAAAGGAGGAGCAATCATTGCATTTATACGGGATTTACCATCAATGCTTGTTTCTTTAACTCGCTGAATACAAAAGCATACTAAGAAAACTTCTTAGGCAGGCAACATTTTAAGATGTGTTAGGCAGGAAACAAGGTCTCAGAAGGATTACTAGAATTTGAAGCAGGAACCAACAACAGGGGCCACGGATATAAACTAAAAAACTGCCTTGCAAATCATCCACGCGAAAACACTTTTTATCGCTTTGAGTCACCGACATATGGAACAGCCTCCATGATAACATCGTTGACTCTCCGAGTATGAAGAACAGGCTAGAAAAAGCTACGGAGAAATATATGTTCAGACTTATAATGCCTAGCATCATATCGAACTTGGTGGAAGTCTAGTTGCTATTTCAAACTATCGTCAATAGTGAAAAGATCCGGTCAAAGGATCTGTTTTTAGATTTCCTCTGAGCTAGTCACGGAAAGTCCTAGAATAGGTGACAGGCCACATCACGCTGTAATGTTGTACATAGGCTACAAATTCCCTTCTTGCATCCAGACCGGAGAGACAAAGTATACCGGTGCTGAGGTAGGCCGAGGCTGGTAGTGGGGGAGCGCAGCCGTGAGTAACAAAATTAACTGGTAAACAGGCCCTGAGCCCAACGCCAACCATCAGCATGCAATATCTACACATAGCCTCAGATCAATGAGCTGTGGGTAACTCCGGCTAACCGGCTATACAAACGCCGATTTTGTTTGGTTTACCATCAGTTGATTATCGATAAATTTTGCATTATTTCTTCGGTGTATCATTTCGAGCATTATTACCCACGATTTGGATTGTTCTTTGTATGCTTCTTGTATTCAATTCATGTAATTCAGTGTTTCAGTAAATTCAGTATGCTTCAGCCCCTCCCCCACTACTCTCACTGCGGAGGAAGGGGGGCCGATTTTATTATCATATTGTCAGACTCGGCCAGAGTTGCCCCGGATACGGGAACGATCCCCATGTAAACCGCTCAGGAGTCGCCACAGTCGGGACCAAACTCTCGTAGCTGTCTGACAAGGGATCGGAATCTTGACCAAAAAGCGGACATGGGGAAGCTGATTTACGTGCTCCCGAGTCCAAGGCGTTCCTGTTTCGGAGTCGCCCCTCGGCTCTAAATTTTGTTATTGGACGTACTGCTTAATGCTTGTCTTTTGAGTGCGGAGAGTATGCAAGCGGCTTTTGTAACGGCCTGAAATATGACCGTTATCTGTGGATAGGGCATAACAAACTGAGATAATTTAAAATGCAAGTTAGGAGCAGAAAGACTCCATCATCCAAGTCACTCGCGTCCACGGAGTCGATTCATTTTTAAGCGATACAGTGATGCTGTTGCAAAGCGAGACAGCAGGAACGTTGTTTATTGCTATTTTCCACACTTCGGACCTGCATTCGAAACTATGTCAAAGGAGTTAAAAACTGCTGTTCATGAAAAACATTCCAAAATGTTAATCCAGTTTTGTTGGCGACCAATTTTGAAAGCGTTTTTTAAGTACAATAACATTGTCCCTATTATTATGCGATCATCTCTAGTTTATAAAAAACCGGGTGGTGCAGGGGGAACTTGCTTATTTGAATCAGCATTCCTGATGTATGTTTTGCAACGATAACTCCAATTAAAGAGGGCTTAATCAAGAGCGCTAACTGTAAAGTTTTGTTTATATGATGATCTGCATTATTTATTTTCTTTTTTCTTTGCAGTAGTCATGGAATGGACGAAAGTGGAACGTACTTTTGCGGTTGCGGCATATTTTTCTTATGATAAATTAATCATCGCCACACAGTGTGGATTATCGCCACGGTCGGAGTAGAGAAGGCTAGATGCAGCATGATCCGTGCCTAAATTAAAGCATGCTGAAGTGATGACTATATGGACCTGGCGCCATACTTTCAAAATTTGCTAAGTGAACGTATGTACTTACGCTCAATTTTCTTGTCTATGATTGGTGGATTTTGCTTGAAAAGCCGTTAATGATTGGCTGATGAACTTACGATCTCTTAACTTTTTTTTGAAAGTATGGGCTCTGGTCACCGGTTAAGCGGTCACGTGCGCACGTGACTTTCTAGATTTGTATGCCATCTAGCGTGCCAACCAACAGAAGAACGGTATACGAACTAAAGTGTTAAGTTGGTTAAAGCTGACCTCCGGCATGTGACTCTCATCAGCAAAGTAAGATCGAGGAGGACCTATAACTCGCCCAGCACGCGATCACAGTCGGATAGCAGCAGAAATATGTCTACTCTCGACATATTTCACTTGCTACTAATTCTGAACCGTTACTACTTCGGCTGGACGTTTGATCCTTGTAGGTCAACTCTGGTAGAATAAATTACTAACTTTCTAAGGAAATTTGCTCTACATTTTGAGCTCTATACAGAAGAATGCAGGAGACTCGGCTACCTCAGTACAAAAATACTCAATGAAATCAAGAAAAAATTATGGTATAAATTTATTGGAATATGTAAAATAAATTGAATCAACAATTCACGAAACTTTTCCGACATAGCATTCCATTTTAAACATATTGGTTACATATTATTTCACTTATTCGACATTTTTTCCGCCGCTTCTGTGGCCCAAATTCATAATATTGAACGAAATTAACGAAATTATTTATGTTATTCTGCAATTGATAACTCCTGGTGCCACCTTGAAATCCACTAAAGTCTTGAATAGTCCGCCCTATTCCCGTTCAACTCAACCCAACGCTATACACCTAGAACCAACCTTTTATTCTTTCCTCATTCTCCTATTGTCACCGCACCATCACAACCATCAACACCACCACCCCCAAAATCTTACTTATTCTGATTTTAAAATCAATTAACTGACTAGTGCGAATTCAATTTCTGCATGATCCAATGTTTCGTTCAATATAATGAATTAGGGCCACAGAAGCACCGGAAAAAATGGCGAATAAGTGAAATAATATGTAGCAAATATGTTTAAAATGGAATGATATGTCGGAATAGCATCGTGAATCGTGGATAAAATTTATTTTACATATTCCAATAAATTTATACCACCATTTTTTGTTGATTTCATTGCGCATTCTTGTAGGGATGTAGCCGAGTCTCCTGCATTCTTTTGTACAGAGCTCGATGACCTCTGCAGGCTTGACCAAAAAGCAGCCCAACGAGTTACAGTACAATACCTTCAGGAGCAACAGGTACAATTTCTTAGCTCTTAGTTACTACCAACTTGATAAATATCATTGTCTTATTTTTCACATACGGGCTAAATCAAGAAAAATTCATTTTTCGAAATTTATCATTCCACAATCATTCGCAAATTGAAGTAATTTTGCTTACGAGAAAAGCGTGGATGGAAATGCGGTTAATGAATTTCACTGGATCGGACCAGACTGACTATCTTAATTATTCTTAAGCGCGTAATTAAGAGGCAACTCGACTTACAAGAGTTAATCATAGTTGGAAACGCTAAGCAAAACAAATCATATATTCACTCTCCTCGTATCCTGGGAGTAAATAGAATAGAAAATTTAATCGAAAATTTAATCGGGATATATGGTTTCGATGCTTGGTAGTATAATAGTTCCAGCAATGAATCACGCAGTTGATTTCCATCGGTTCTTTTCTGTATATTATCAAGACTAATAAACTCGAACTTATAATTAATTCCCACTAGGATGAAGAATACAACGAAGTCACTGAAACATTTTTGCCCTGAAGCACATATGAACAATAATATTGGACTGTAATCGAGTGCATTCCCATCTTTCTCACAAAGAAAGCGATAATGTTTCACTGGTTGGCAGATGAGTGTTTCTTGTAAAAATTGATGATTGATTATCGACGTTCAATTCGACTTTTATTCAAGAATGAGCATTTTTGCCATCATTTACTGACTTAACTAGTTGAGTGTTTCTTTAATTATAAAACTGACGAAGTTTCTTCTGGTTCGAGGACGTGTCTATTCTAGTTTGTTCATTGGGAAAAATGTTGCCATGTTCTAGTAAAAAATGAGGGGCGGTAACTGTGAAAACTTGTTTTCTGAACAAAGCTTAGGTTTCGCAGTAGCAACCGATCTGTTTATAGCGTCAGTTTAAAATGAAGATGACCCGACCAATAGGTTTTTCTGCGTCTGCTCAACTCTACATTTGGTAAAATCTTCTGACAATTTGATTAATACGAATAAAAACAGGTACCGTTCGATTAAACCTAACTGAAACAAGGAAATATTACACCGAAAAAATGAGGAAAGGCGAGTTCAAATATGTGTTGGCGCATAACCGATTTATATTTAAAGAATCGTCCGAGTTTTCTGAGAACTCTTACCTCTACCTGATGAACAAGCATGGTGAGTCTGTGCGCCTCGGCTCTGACATCTTCTCAACGACAGTATCGTAACTGCTATTTATATTTATTACATTTACTGAGCAAAACTTGAACCTTAATCATAAATTTGGCTATTCTAAATTGAGGATGTAAAACAATCTTCACTTGAACAAATGCAAAAACCTTCATGAACTAAATTTAGTTAAATAAATGTCGCATGAACACCAATTAAATAACAAAAAAAAAAAACAGTTTTCATATAACTTCTCAAAATTACTAATCTGGAAATCATTATGAGCGTAATCTCTTTGTCGTTGTTATAATTTTTACTTTTATCTTGTCATTGCCAATTCTCGATCCATAAGAAATGTAACAATTCTATTTAGTACGTTTTTATTGTTCAGAGCACTACAAGTGTTTAAGTGTCTTCAGAATTTTTTTGTGCATAGTTCACCATCGCTTCAAATCTAAAGCTTAGTGTTTCCATTAGGAAAAAACGATATTATAGGTCATCTTGGTCATCGTTTGAGTTTACATGCTCGAAATATTCATAATGATTCATGCGATTGTGGTTAAGAAGGCTACATATTTCATACCTGCTTCGTTCTTTCAGCTTATGGTTTTATCGCTACTTAAGCTGCATGCAGGTTACGATTTGCACAAGCATTTAATAAATTTGTGCACTAGATTTACAATTTAACAATTAATTTTTATTTAATAATTACAATTTATCATTATCTAATTAATAATTTTTCGCATGTCACAAGTTGTAGAATATTCTATCTTTGCAATCAATATTGCTTGAAATAGCTAATTTCAAAATTTTTTTTTATCCGTGATGAATCATTTTCAAAATAACTTACCAATTTCAATCTGACATCACTGGTTCATATTGGTTTCATACCAGACCATACGAATGATTGTCCGAATGATTGTTGATAATTGCTCGGTGCTCATTTTAACATCCTGAATCGCATTAGTTCTAAATTCGGGAGCGAAAATGTGTTGAAGTACCTAATTAATGTGTACTTTAGCAGATATATTCACATTCGCAGATACTTGGAGCGTCTACTTTCATTTTGATCATCTCCATGGCGACGATGATCGAGGCCAGGGTGCCAACGACGGTAACGATAAGAGATGTGGATACGTTGACCGATGCATCGGCAACAACGGAGACGAAGGCGGTAACGATAAGAGAGGTGGATACGGCGACCGATGTATCGGCGACAGTGACGACAAGAACTGAGGCAGCAGCGGCGCTGTTAAAGACGGCAGCAACTACAACGGAGGCGGTGACAATGCTCGATGCGTCGGCGCAAAATGGTGGGAGCATTGGTGTGAAGTCAAACGGTGTGAAATTTATTGCAAATGATCTATCACAAAACCAAGTGTAACAAAATTTTACTGAAAAATATGCAAAATAAACTTGGCAATCTCTTGGACCAAATAATTAATGACCATTGATAGGCGTTATTCGGATAGCAGCACACCATTGAAATGTTCGTCAACAATGTTGTCCGAGCATAACGGTTTATTTAAGTAATGGCCTAAATTTTGTAGACGCTCGACTGTTCGGGTTAGTGGTGAAGACAACTACAGTGTTAACAGCTGTGTCTTCTACCACCTCCACCAAGACCTGCGTTGTCCGTGAGTACTATAACTTAATAACGCTCTCTACCGTCACCTCCCCCAAAGACCTGCATTGTCTGTGAGTACCCTTGAAAACGCTCTCCACCGTCACCTCTCCCAAGACCTGCATTGTCTGTGAGTACCCTTGAAAACGCTCTCCACCGTCACCTCTACCATGACCTGCATTGTCTGTTAGTACCCTTGACAACGCTCTCCACCGTCACCTCTCCCAAGACCTGCATTATCTGTGAGTACCCTTGACAACGCTCTCCACCGTCACCTCTACCATGACCTGCATTGTCTGTTAGTACCCTTGACAACGCTCTCCACCGTCACCTCTCCCAAGACCTGCATTATCTGTGAGTACCCTTGACAACGCTCTCCACCGTCACCTCTACCATGACCTGCATTATCTGTGAGTACCCTTGACAACGCTCTCCACCGTCACCTCTCCCAATACCTGGATTGTCTGTTAGTACCCTTGACAACGCTCTTCAACGTCACCTCCACCACGACCTGCATTGTCTGTGAGTACCCTTGGCAACACTCTCCCCCGTACCTCCACCACGACCTGCATTGTCTGTGAGTACCCTTGACAACGCTCTCTACTGTCACCTCTACCAAGAGCTGTATTGTCCGTGAGTCCCCCTGACAACGCTCTCCACCGTCACCTCTACCAAGACCTGCATTGTCTGTGAGTATCTTCTAAGAGAATTAAGGTACGCACCGATCTGCTATGTCAGTGCGTACACACTCTCTCCACCTGCACATCACCAAAATCATTCATTTCAGGTGATTTTCGCCATTAACTATCTAAGCCATACCCTAAAATCCATCGTTTTGTTACATGTTAATAGATCTTTTCTTAAAAAGTATAAAATCCAATAGCTCCTTAGATTCCCAAAATACAGTTAATGCCTAGCGCATAAAAATATTTATGTTTCAATTATTTCTTTGATTGTACCATTGAATCGAGACTCATGCATTGAGAGATTTGTCTCAGAAAATTATTGCTATACATATAAACCAAAACATCACAGACGAGTGAGTGGGGAATATTCATGTTGCATCTGAATATTTAATATGAATGTTCATATTTGGGGACTGGGATTACTGCGAAATTAGAATGTGATCTATGGACCATAAGCTTCTTGTCATGTCTGGGGAATCAACGAGTTGTTTTTATAATAATGAATCACTAGCAACCTAGATTGTGAGCTTTAAGTAAAGTATAGCTTTTAAAATATCCGCAAAATTAAAGCAGACTGACAACCTACAGTCAACATGTTAAAGGAAGCATCTCCTCTGAGGATATTGTTTCAAATTCAGATTGTTGATCCACACATAGCCTGAAAACTGCCAACGACATTTTGTTAATGCTAAAACAGACTCTCGTCTCAAATTTTCTCAAGTAAACGCATCCATGAATGTCGTTCTACTAATCAGAGTTGAAATTAGGCTCATTTTAGAAAAACGAGACTATAACATTTTAGGGTTTAGAGACTAGTAAATAATGTTATAGCCTAACAGTTCACTACATTGATGGCTTTTCTCTAGTTCTGACGCCCGGTTTGTGTACACGCAAACGCCGTTACTTGGAAATTCAACCAAATCTGCCGACTGAGGAGAAGTTTACCGGAGACTTCGAGCTCTCGACCTCCATGCTGGACTCGAGTCGTCCTGACGAAGAAATCGCTGACAAATCACCCCGTGGCTTTCTGACTTTCTGGAAAGCATCCACTTCAACGATTGTGCTGACTTCTAACATCACAACCTTCACTCCCCAGATGAGTTTCCAAGTCCTTTTACGTGATTTAATGTGTACAGCCACCCTCTGCGTAAACAACTAAGTGAATTATGAAAAAATACATATCTATTGCACTCTAGCGTATTATTTGAGCCCACATCATCAAAATATTCTTTGATTGCTTACTAATATTGCTAGGAGAGAATGGACTTCAAGTGAAGTTCACTCTTTACCTACCATGATAAACATAGAAGAAAATATTTTAATAAACATGATTTCAGTAAGATCTTATTACCATTGCCGAAAATTGTAACACTAAATCAAAGAAGTCATCTAAACACAAATTATTAAAATTATTTGTAGATTATTTTAGAAGATGAATTTGACCAAAAATTCTCGTTCCGTAATATAAAGCAATTTTCAAGCTTCGTCTGTGACATCCAGATGAGTATTTTCTGTCGACGTATTACGTCATATCGGCAATGGATTCAATTAAATTATTTTATTATAAATAACTTGAAAATCGCGCTAACAAAGTAAACTATAGTAATTGATGCGATTTAACTACTGCTCGTGAAATAGTTCAACAATTAAATGAAACTCGCTTCACACCCGTGGCGAATTCGAAAGATGAATAATTCGTAGTCTAATGCATTGTAGTAAATTAAAATTTGCCAATGAATAAGCTGAACTTAACATCTCCTTCTATGATTATAGTAAGTTGTAGTCTACTAGATAAATTACTACTTTATCGTATTTAACGTTTTCTCAGGAAAATAATACATAAAACTGAGAACTAGGGTTGGTTAATACACAATGAGTGACTTTCTGACGCTCAATGACCCTCTATACCGCCTGAAATGAGTAACCAGAGCAATATTGTCACAAGCCTACTTCTCAAAAAGGATGCGTTCTAGTGAGCGTAAGATAACTTGCACTTATGGTTGCCGCCATGTTCGACAGCTTATAAATCTTCTCTGTTGCATACAAACGTCTTCAGGTTGCTACCCTCAATAGTTTACGTAGAATTTAAGTTGAAAGTTTTGTTCCCTGAGAGTGGCATACGGCGGTAGAGGGTTAAGTCGTTCATTTCTATGTCCATCATATTCATTCAGTCTACTTAAAAGTTCACCGAAATGTAGAAAAGAGCATCGGCGCCAAATGTTACAAAAATTTCGAATTTTTCGTACCACTTTTCATAGACATATTATCTCCCCAACGAGAAATCAAAGTAATCGAATACGCTTAAATCCTCCTGGAAACCCTGCTCGCGAGCAATCAGCACTTAGTTTACAAGGCCCATGCAACCGAGTCTCACAGGAGTGGCCGCTTAGAAAACCATATTACACTGTGCAGAGAGAATTTCGTGCACCTTACACTACACCAAGATCTCACTGACGAGCTTACGCTCCAAGCGGTTACATGGGATACAGGGGCCATACCTACAAAACTCGCTAAGTTAACGTAAGCACTTACGCTCTATTTTCTTGTCTATGATTGATGAATTTTGCTAGAGAGGCCGTCAATGATTGGCTGATGAACTTACGAACACTTAACTTTTTTTGAAAGTATAGGCCCTGCAGGTCAGCGAGACAGGTCTGTAGTTCACAGCTCAGTGACCATGCATCTTCTTTCTTGTACACAGAGCACACATGCGTTGCTTGCAGACCTTGCTATATAGTTTTTTAAAGGTAACGCACTTTTTATTGTACAAATCTGAGACAACTAATACATTTCAGATCAGTACCACGTCGTTGAGACATAATAAAGTGACTTTACAGCGGAGTAAAGAGGCCCTATCGACGGCAGTTGTGTGTCCATCCATGCACGAGTATATACAGGGTGCGGCAGTGAGGGCGGACCGTTTTAAAAACGTCATAAAATAGTATATTTTTACTGAAAAACAAATTTATTGATGTAACCAGGTTCATAAAGAAATATCATTTCAGACAGTTAAGTGTGGAAAATACCATCTGGCATGTGGTGGCCGAAATCGCTGATGCAGTGCTGTAGGCGTTCTTGAAAGTTCGAGTAGACTCCCTCCAACACCGCTTTCTCAACTTTCGCAACTTCCACGCGAATTGCGTCCTTTTAATTCGTCCAGAGTTCGGGGCTTGTGTACGTATGCTCTAGCCTTGAGATGTCACATATGGAAAAAATCACATATGGATAAATCTTGGGACCGAGGAGGCCAATGAAAATCGCCAAACCTGGAAAGAGAGGGCGGATGACGTCCATTGATGCTCTGGCTGTGTGAGCGGTCGTCCCATCCTGCTGGAACCACACACGTCGGGTTGGAACACGACGCCGTCGTAATTCAGGGACAAAGAAGTTGGTCATCATTTCTGTTTAGCGCTCTGAGTTCACAGTAACAGCACGACCATAACCGTCTTCAAAGAAGTAAGGGCCAATGTTGCACGTTTGCGATACAGCACACCAAGCCGTTACTTTTGGGCGGTGCAGCGGCCTTTCGTGTAACTGTTGCGGATTTTCATTAGCCTAATAACGGAAATTCTGCTGGTTAACCATGCCGTTTATGTGAAAGTGGGAAAGTTATGTGATCTCGGCCAGCACCGTCACTCAAGATAACAATCACGACACGGTCACTCCTGCCTTGCATCTCTTTCAAGGCTGTGGCGAGCGAACAAACGAACGCACATAGAAGAGTTTGCAGTCGTTGGATGCGCATTTTCCTGAGCTTCAACATGAACAAGACATGCAACAATTTCGCGACTTATGGGCCGGCCAAGACGCTCCCCTTAAGTAGTGACTGTGGACCTGGCCACCGGTTAAGCGGTCACGTGCGCCCGTGACTTTCTAGACTTGTACGCCATCTAGCGTGCAAACCAATATTACGGTATACGAACTAAAGTGTAAAGTTGGTTAAAGCTGACCTATGGCATGTGACTCTCATCAGCACAAGTAAGAGGAGGACCTAAAACTCACCAGCACGCGATCACTGTCCCATACAACAGAAATATGTCTACTTTTGACATACTCCACTTGGCCGCTAATTCTGAACCGTTTTTAGGTCGGCCGGACGTTTGATCCTTGCAGGTCTGCTGTGTAGAATAAAGTATTAACATCTAAATTATTACTCAATATTGGATCCCTCTCACGTTGTGTATCGCCCTTCTTTATAAGGAAAAAATGCAGGGAAATCGGCATGAATTGCGCAATCATATTAATTGTAGAGTTAGGTGCTCAGCTCAAAACGTATCTAATAGAAGAGTAAGTCGTTTATCCACTGTCTCAACCGGTGAGGATGGTTTGAAGCTCGTAAATTACACGAAGTCTCAAACGAATAACTCATTCGATTGATGACAGTGAAATGAAGTTATATTAAACTAATTTCTTTTATATGGAAATTGGAATTTTGATGGATTAAGATAATCAGGTTATTCACGAAGCCTTTATTGATACCCTGCCAAATATGCCCATCCCGCAAAGGAACGTTTTGCGAAACAACGTAAGATTTATAATGTAGATGTATAAATTACGGGAACTTGATTCGACACAACTAAATACGATCCGTGTGATTAATACTAGTTCGGAGAATAAAAAGTGTACCAAGTTTTTTTTCTTAGTGAAATTAGTATTTCTTTCCAAATTACTTTGGGTCTATGATCGAATGGAATCAACATTGATTGATTCTCAAATAATTCAGATTATTGACATGATTGCACATTTAATAATAAATATGTAATGAATATATAGAGGGCTGTAATCGCAGAGACCACGCGTCCAAAAGGCCTTATTTTTCGGACCATGTCGCTAGAAGATGAAAAATGAAAACACCGTCTACAACTGTACAGTTTTTCTATATATTTGTCATTTGCAGCACATCATTGATGTTTTATTTCATATTATGTATGCTTGGATGAGGAAAATCTACAGAATAATGAAGAGGAAAAAATTACGATAAATGGACATGACATTCTTTGGTGTTCGAGATTTATTTCAGCTTTATCATTTGCAGAGAGCAGTTGCTTATTGACGATTGCAAACATATGGTGAGATCGTGGACTATGTATTAATAATTAGATCGAGATGTTCTCGATGATTTAGTAGGTCTATAGTATAAAATTTCACAAGAAAGACAAATCGTCTTAAATATAACTGAAGCATAATGCGTTGTAAATAAAAATAACACCATCAATCGATTGCGGTTGAAGAGAAATTACGTCGTGACTTGAAATGCAAGTGAACAAGGTTATGTTGGATTGAAATTCTCGAGAACTGATAGACATGATTTGCATACATAAGTGCAGAATATATACCGCTCAGCAATAAAGGTGCGTGTGAAAAAGAAACTTCCCCAGCAGGCATTCGGTGGTTGAATCAACGTTGAATCAACTACGCATTACGACATTGATACCGCGGTGAAAGGAGGTTTAGAATGAAAATTGAAGCAACATCTTTCATGCAACGTCGTACTGACGTTACAATTCAACGTTGAATCAATGTTGCTACTACGACGTTGCTGCAACGTTGAATTCTATGGTTGAATCGACGTTGAAACAACTACGCATTACGACATTGTCAGATTTCGACGTTGATATGACGTTTAATTTTGGTTGTTCAACATTTCAACCTGAAATCAACCAAAAATCAACGTTGTTTCAACGTCAGATGCCTGCTGGGTCTGTTCCCTTAAACTATTCAATAAAACTATGGAAACTCAGTTCTAATAAATAATAAATGATTCAGAAACAAGAAGGGCCTATCAGATTTGAATTACTTTTATCAACCATAAATTATTTAATATTGTTCGTTATATTTATTTAGCTTGCAGCATAATAACAAAACTTTTTCAAATGCTTCTTCGGGGCATTTGATTGTTGTGCAGAAGCTGGATTTATAAGAACTCACGAACACGAATTGTTTCCATTTTGTATGTAATACATTAACGGGGTTGTATTTTGAAAACGAAGCTTTAAATGTTACGACTATCAAGACAAATGCGAGAGTCAAATTCTCAATTCAAGTCCATAAGCAAGTTGACTATTATTGTATTAGTATGTTTAATAGCAGTGCAAGGTATGCAAAGAGTTAGCAAGGTATATAGGACCGAGCAATTTGGACCGGTGAACTAAGAACTGATGTAAGGCTAGATGCAGAAGATGAGCGTTAGGACTTATTCACTGTGAGGGAAAGCTCGCTAGATATTAGATTTCCCGCTAAAATTGCCACGTTAGATCAAGCGCGTTGGTAGCTCAGTTCACTGCTTGTCGAGCCCGGAAGACGCGCGCATCTTGTACGCTCTTCGTTACCAGTCAGCATTGCTTTGCTGTACTGCGGTTTGCACTGGTAAGCTGCTTCATGAGGATTAATACTTGTAAATTGTTGTCTTTGCCATACTATACTGAAATTGTAACTTGGGATTTATTAGTTTGGGTGGGGTTCAATTATGGATGTGAATTAGATGCAAGTTGTTAGCCTAGGTCTGACTAAACGATTTCAGTTTACCGCGAGTCATTCGCTATATAGCCAGTCATGGTTTTTCTATTGGTCTACATTTTGTCAGCACCCCAACAGTCTGCTCGCTTCAACTCCCTAGCGCGGCAGCACCTAGCTGTAGCCTGACGCTGACTTATGTCCCTTTTATTCAAGGTACGCCGGTAGGCCTGCGAGGTTTTCCTGACCAGTTCACCTCCGGAGCCTGTGCATTGTTCTCGTTGTGACTAGAGGTTGGCAGCACGACGTGCCTGCTTCAATCGTGGTTGCTTCACCACCACCACGTCACCGTCAGGGGCCACTTCAACCTCGGGAATCTTAAACTTGCTTTAAGTAGAGTGGGCACGTATGCGTGCTTCCAGACCGTGTGTTGGTGTGCGAGCTCAGGAGAAGCAGACTAGCTAGGACCGTAGACTGTTAGGTTTAGTATTCACTGTCAACGCTGTGATTCAGTCTAGAATTCACTGTCATCTGTCGTTTCTAACTTAGTCCATTGATGTTTCCTTGAGACGCCTTCAGGTGTCTGAATTTGAAAAAGTTACCTGCTCATAAACTTCCTAAATTGTTAATTCTAATGTTAGTTATTCTTAGTAAAGAAAATAGAAATCTTCTTCGTTCATTGGTCCTTCCTTCCGACTATGGCCATAGAGGGCGCCCCGATATTCTCAGTTGAGTTACTTTTTTGGCTCACATCCCATTAAGCACTAGGCATAATTATAGTTCCTTGCGTAATAATTTTTATTGACCATTCATTGAAACTTGGAAACAATCTGACGATGGTCGGTGGAAGTAAAATTTAATCCGCCAATAGTTAGAAAATTTATGCTGGGAATGGATTCTACGTTTCACTTAATTAGCCTTACTGAAAATACAGTTCATCGACATGTCTGATGAAGTTTTGGAAATTAGCTAGCTAACTACACAGCTCGCTTAAAGTGCTGAAAGAATTACTGGCCTAAAGGTTAACCTCGCCAACGTTCATGCATATCTTACCGATGCACTACAATAGTTTGACACTTCGATAAACTATAGCGTGTAGGAATATACACATTGAGAGAAGAAATCTAAGAATAGCAGTATCCGTATGTAACAGTGTCAAGAAAACATTGGTGGAACCCGAGTTTAACCGGTTCAGTTTTACAGGATCGTCCAGATTGAAATATTGGCTGCAGGGGCGAGATGGCCAAATCTCTGGCCAGAACCATGCCTTGCCTCTGACGTCTCCGGGGCAAGGTGCATGCGGAGGATCACGTATCCTTCCTCGGGCTTGCCGGGGACGGATACGTGCACGTATCCTTCGAGCCGCTCCTGCAGCGCAGTAGGTCGTCGTAGCCCCCAGGTATGTAAGCCACTCTCTAGACGAACCTTACTGTCTTGACCGGTTTTTCTGGTTTTGACTGGTCATTCTGGTCCCGACTGGTCTTACTGGTCTTGACGGACCGCAAAGATGGCTGGTGCGGACAAAATCAGGGCCAGGTCTAACGAGATGCAGTAATGGCGTCAGTCAACTATATAGATAGAAAGTATGTTAAAACGGGAGCCCCATTCGGTAGAGGTGGACTCAGGTGGTGAATGATAGCTGGTATGTTCATTAGTTAATTAGCTCCATAGCCTAGGATTAGACGCCGAAAAGGCAGAGACGAGAGCGATGCTCAAATACCTGCATTATTTAGTTGACTCTGGTACGAGACTAAATAATTAAGGGCATACAGGCCAGACAGCCCTCATTTACATACTAATGACAACACTTTAATTCTATTTGAATTTGAGCACAATTCGTAAATACGAAACAAAATCTGACGTCGGAAAGAAAAACTTCTTAATCTTCAAGCTCGGCTTGAAGCTGGCCAGAAATATCGAAATAGCTTAAGAAAATAATGCATTCCACCGTTTTTTTTATACACGTATGATCCAAATGTACCCATTTATTATTATTGTCGCATAAATTATTGTTTCATTAATTAATGTTCAAAAATTCTGCTAGTAGGCATTAATATAAAAGCTTGACGTTTCTTAGGCTCCTATATGCCTCATTTTGTGTTAGCGGCTGTGTTTTGATACATTTTTGAACACGAATTCAAATGTTTCACATCTTATTATGGATTTTTAACTCACTCGGCATGCGGAAAAACCCTACCTAATTTCTGGTAATATTTCAACTTACTATCTTATAGAATGAGTGACAAAAATTTCTTGAATTTGCTGATAAACTTCAATCATTATTCACTTCACTTGGTTTCAACGTTCTACATGCATGCCTAAAATCATTTTCTTCCACTGCAGAAGCGAAATTTTATTCCTCTTGCCACTTTACAGCACTTGAAGCAAAATTAGTGACTATCTAAAGTATGAAAATGAATGAAATGAAAACCTTTTTTATTTTGAAAATTTCATTGCGTATATAGATTTTCATTGCTGCCTAGAACATCTTTTTCTCTTATGTTCATCGCTATGGTGACGACTATATATGGCAGTGGCCACTGTGGCGGCAGCGGTGCCGAAAGAGGTATACGATGGCCAATGGGCGCCGTAAATTTGAGAGGTGTTGGATTTACTCCTACAATTATATCACTGAATGTAGTTAAATATATGAAATAATTCTCAAAATCCTCGCTAAATTGACTAAATGATTGAATTGGCCCGTCAGTAGCCTGTAATTGATTTGACATTAAAATCAGACAAAACCATCGTAAGTACTTTCTTCGCAATATATCATTTAATCGTGCTTCGCTCTAAATTATTATTTAATACGTGAAAATTTATATTTGGATTGATCGGTCACTTATAGTGTCCTACTCTTAATACCTAAGCCATCAAACCGAGTCTTTGAAATACTGTGCATGATCACGTATTTTGGAATAAATATTGTGATCATCATACATGAGCAAACGATGTTGAAAATTTAAATTAGTGAGTGTATCAGCCAAGTTCTATCGCCAGCGGAACAGCGATGATGTCTTTTTAGCGCATTTTCTCATTTAGGGAAAAATGCACTATTGTGCTAGCCATGTCCGTCTGTCTGTCTGTCCGTCCGTGACATCAATTTTTCGTCGACGAGAAAATGCGCTCTCTGTCACTCACTGCAGTGAGTACTGAGTTACATTTATTTAATTTAGCATGCATTCCTGACACTTTGTTTGACATCCGTCCTGCCCACCTGGACATTTGTTTCAATAAATTTTGTGAGAAGCTAAAATAAACCTGCAACTTGTAAACCCGAAAGCACCATGCATAAAGTACATCTAATTACATTTATATCAACAGTTTCTATTTTATTTTAATCTTTTTAAGCATTCTTTAACTTTTTTAAAAATTGTTCCTCTGGCGTTAAGTATATCCCCAACACAGTAGTTCAGAAAGCGATTACGGAAAAGCGATTACGGAAGAATGAAACTGGTAGAGAATGACAAACTGTAAAGACGAGATTGAAGACATAACATCAACCAAACGAATGACTCTGAATATGGAGAGTTGATATCACATTTTTTTTTGTTATGCTGCAATTGGTAACTCCTGGTGCCTCCGAAAAACCTGCCAAGAACAGTTCGCCCAAAGTCCTGAACAGTACGCCATCCCAACCCAACGACATACACCTACAACAAACCTTTTATTTTTCCCACACTCTCCTATTGTCATCGCACATCCACCACCATCAACACCACCACCCTAACAATCTTACTTATTCTGATTTTAAAATAAGCTGATTCCGTGAGAATCATTTTTTACATGATCCAATGTTTCGTTCAATATAATGAATCAGGGCCAACAGAAGCACTGGGCAAACAAATTGCGATAGTAAAATAATACGTAGCGACATATTTAAAATTGTTTATGTCGGAATATCGTCGTAACTGGTTGATTTAATTTATTTTACATATTCTTAAAAATTTATACCACAATTTTTTCTTGATTTCATTGCGCATCCTTGTACAGATCGATGTGGCCGAATCTTCTGCATTTTTTAATAGAGATTGATGACCTCGGCAAGCCTAAAAAGCAGTCGAACGAGTGACGATGCCTTGAGGTGCGACACGTACGTGTATCTCTCAATGTTTCTTAACTCGTAAGTAACAACTTTAAAAAATATCATTGTCCTACTTTTCACATTTGGGCTAAATCAAAGGAAAACTAATTTTTTGCAGTGGATTTTAATGCTCTCCTCAATCACTCGCAAGTTGAAGTAATTTTGCTTACGAAAAAAATATGGATTAAAATTTGGTTAATGAATTTCACTTGATCGGACCAGACTGGCTATCTAAATTATTCTTTAGCGCGTAATTAACAGATAACTCAACTAACAAGAGATTATTAATTTATAGTTAGGAACGTTAATAAAACAAATCAATATTCGTTCTCCTCGTATCCTAGGAGCAATAGAATAGAAAAGTTACTAGGGACACATGCATATGGTTTTGATGTTTGGGAATGGAACAGTTCCTGCAATTAATCAAGCAATTGATTTTGAAGACTAATTCAGTTCGAACTAATAATGAATTTACACTAGGATGAAGAGTACAACGATGTCACCGAAATATTTTTGCCCTGTAAAGCACACATGAACAATAATTTTGGATTGAAATATGAGGAGCAAATGGAGAGGTAATAAGAGTTACTAGCAACATTATATTGATTGTTTGGAATTATACTTGCGTTCGCATCTTTTCCACAAAGCAAGAGAAAATATTTCACTGGTTTGTCAAGTTTGGTAGTTGAATGTTTCTTGTTAGAATTGATGATTGATATAATCGACGATCAATTCGACTTTTACGTGCGAATGGTCCTTTATAACCATCATTTACTGACTTATCTAAAAGTGTGAATCATAAATTACAAAACTGATGATCTTCTGATGATCGAGTATGTGCCTTTAAAGTTTGTTTATCATAAAATTTTTTACCATGTTCTAGTTAAAAATGAGGGGCAGTAACTGTGAAAACTTGTTTTCTGAACTTATTTTAGTTTTTACAGTAGCAATCGATTTATTTATAGCGTCAGTTCAAATAAAGACAACGCGACGCACAAGTTTTTCTGCGTCTGCTAAATTGTACATTTAGAAAAATCTTTCTGCGATATAATTAAAACGAAAAAAAAAAAACAAAATCAGGAACCGTTTGATTGAACTTTACTGTATCAAGGAAATATTACACTATAATTATGAGGAAAGGCGAGTTTGAATACGTGTTCGCCCATAACCGATTTATATTTAAAGAATCGTCCGAGTTTTCTGAGAACTCTTACCTCTACCTGATCACAAGCATGGTGAGTCTGTGCGCCTCGGCTCTGACATCTTCTCAACGACAGTATCGTACCTGCTATTTATATTTATTACCTTTACTGAGCAAAATTTGAACCTTAATCATTGATTTTGGTATACTAAATCGGGGATGTAAATTGGTCTTCACTTGAACCTAAACAAAATAGTTTAAGAACCAAATATAGTTTATATCAATGTCGAATAAACACCAAATAAAAAACGTTTTCATCGAACTATTGAAATTTACTATTCTGGAATTCATTATGAGCGTAATCTTTTTGTCTTGTCATTTTTGCTTTTATTTTGTCGGTGAAATTCTCGATCCATATACGAAATGTTACAATTCCTTTGAGTACGTTTTTATTGTTCAGAACACTAAACGTGTTTAAGTGTCTTCAGCGTTTTTTTAAGTGCATAGTTCACCATCGCTTCAAATGTACAGCTTTTTGTTGCAACATGATGATTAATGCGATTGGGGTTAAGAAGGCTATATGGTTCTTGTCTGCATTATTCTTTCAACTGTTTTATCACTCCTCGGGCTTCAGGTTACGATTTGTAAAATGACTGAATAAATTTTTGCACCAGATTCACATAATTTCCAATTAATAATTACCATATCAACAATATGTAATTAATAATTTCATCGCAGGTCACGAGTTGTAGATTATTTTATCAATTAACATTTAATATTGCTTGAAATAACTAATTAAAAAAAATCTATAATCAGGATGAATCATTATATCAGAATAGCTTAACAATTGCAATGTGACATCACTGGTTCATAACGGTTTCATGCAGACCCTACGAATGATTGTTAACTGCATTCGTTTCGTTAATACGAATGATTTTTAATTGCTTTTTAGCATTCAGAATTGCATTAGTTCTAACGTTGGGAGTGTAAATTTTTTAAGTATCTAATTAGTTTTTTACTCCAGCAGGTACATTTACAGATACTTGGAGCATCTACTTCTATTTTGATCATCTACATGGCGACGATGATCGAGGCAACGGTGGCAACGACGGTAACGATAAGAGAGGTGGATACGACGACCGATGCGTCGGCAACAACGGCGACAAGAACTGAGGCAGCAGCGGCGCTGTTGCCGGCAGCAACTACAACGGAGGCGGTGCCAATGCTCGATGCGCCAGCGCAAATTGGTGAGAGCGAGCCACAAACGGTGTGAAATTACAGCAAAAATGAAACAAAAATTAACTAAAAAATATGCAAAATAAACTTGGCACTCATTTAAACAAAATAATTTATGACCATAAATAGTCGTTATTCGGACAGCACACCATTGAAATGTTCGTCAGCAATGTTGTCCGAGCAGGAAGGTTAAAATTAAGTAATATTGGCGAAAATTTTATAGAACCTCGACTGTTCGGCTTAGCGACGAAGGCGACTACCGTCTTGATAGCTTTGTCCACTGTCACCTCCACCAAGACCTGCGTAGTCGGTGAGTACCCTTAACAACGCTCTCTACCCGTCGCCTCCAACAAGACCTGCATTGTCTGTGAGTACCCTTAACAACGCTCTCCACCGTCACCTCCACAAAAGACCTGCATTGTCTGTGAGTACACTTAACAACGCTCTCTACCCGTCGCCTCCACCAAGACCTGCATTGTTATAGTGAGTACCCTTAACAACGCTCTCTACCCGTCACCTCTGCCAAGACCTGCATTGTCTGTGAGTACCCTTAACAACGCTCTCTAACCGTCGCCTCCAACAAGACCTGCATTGTCTGTGAGTACCCTTAACAACGCTCTCTACCTGTCACCTTAACCAAGACCTGCATTGTCTGTGAGTACCCTTAACAACGCTCTCTAACCGTCGCCTCCAACAAGACCTGCATTGTCTGTGAATACCCTTAACAACGCTCTCCACCGTCACCTCCACCAAGACCTGCATTGTCTGTGAGTACCCTTAGCAACGCTCTCTACCTGTCACCTTAACCAAGACCTGCATAGTTAGTGAGTACCGCCACATATATATAAGGAACTATATGCCATATAGTTCCTTAGTTACCCAAAATACAGTTAATGCTCAGCCCTTTACACACTCTCTGTTTAAATTTTTTCTCGCATTGTCCCATTGAATCGAGACTCAGTAATAAATCAACATCGTATATTGCGGTAAGAGATTTGTCTCAGAAAATTATTGCTGCACAATATATCAAAGCATCAAAGACGAGTGAGTGAGGACATAGGACAAGGGAAGTTTTTTTATGAGGTGAATGTTCCGATATTCAGAATTGGACTATGAATATTTTTATTGCATATGAATATTTAACAAGTATATTCATATTTGGGACTGGGGTTGTTGCGGAATTAAATTGCGGTACATGGACCAAAAGTTTTTTGTCATGTAAAGTGAATAAACGAGTTGTTCTTTTAACAATGAATCACTAAAGCAATATAGATTTTATGCTTCAAGTAAAGTATGGGTTTTAAAATATACGGAGATTTAAAGCCGAATGATATTCTCTGGTAATCAAGTTAGAAGAAGCCTGTTATTGGAGAATTTTATTTCCAATTTAGACTTGATCCGCTCAAAGCCTAAAAACTGTCAACGAAATTTTGATAATGCTAAAACAGACTCTCGTCTCAAATTTTCTAAAGTAAATGCATCCATGAATGTCGTTCTATGTACTAATCAGGATTAAAATTATGCTCTTTTCTGTCCAAAACAAGCTACATTTCACGGTTTAGAGACTAGGTAATAGTTAGAGCCTAACAGTTCAATACGGTAATAACTGAATTTTTAAGGGCTACTTTTCAGTAGTGGCCGGAGGTCCCGGTCCCGGTTTGTGTAAACGCAAACGCCGTTACGTGGAAATTCAACCAACTCTGCCGACTGAGGAGAAGTTTACCGGCGACGTCGAGCTCTCCGGCTCCATGCTGGACTCGAGTCGTCCTGACGAAGAAATCGCTGGCAAATCTGCCCGCGGGTTTTTGACTTTCTGGAAAGCATCCACTTCAACGTTTGTGCTGACTTCCAACGTCACCAGCTTCGTTCAAATAATACCTAGATTCATCCAAATCTTCATTGGGTTAGGGTGCAGAGCCACCCTCTGCATACACAACTAAATGCATTATGAAAAAATACATATCTATTGCTCTTTAGTATGTTCCTCGACCCTACACAATTAAAATATTATTTGATTGCTTACTTATATCGCTAAGAGAGAATGGACTTTAAGTGGAATTCACTCTTTACCGTACATGATCCATATAAAAGAAAATATATTCATAAAAATTATTTCGGTAAGATCCTATTACCATAGCCGAAAATGGTTACACTAAACAAAAGAAGTCGTCTAAACACAAATTATTTAAATTAATTGTAGATAATTTTGGAATTAACTTAACCAAAAAATCCTCATTGCCTAATAAAGCACTTTAACATCCAGACGAGTATTTTATGTCGTCGTATATCATAGACAATGGATTAATTTTAAATATTATAAAATAACTTGGACATAAAGCTAAGAAAGACAACTATAAAAATTGATGCGATAACGCGATAAGCCGAAAATTTTATGCGATAAAAATTGATAAGCCAAACTTAACAGCTTCTTCTATGAATATGATAAGTTGTTCTCTGCGAGAGAACATACTTACTTTATTGTATTCAACGCTGTTTCAGTAAAATAATACATCAAACTGAGAGCAAGGCTTAGTTAATACAAATTGAGTGTCTTTCTGAGGCTCTCAATTATTTTTTTCTATGTCCATCATACTCATTCATTCTACTTATAACTTCACCGATATGTAGAGAAGAGCATTCATTGTGTGCCTTATCTCTGGTTTTAATCCGAAATTACCCGTAATCGTGTTAGGTTCACATTTTGTTATTGCGGTGTCACCAGGGAAAAGTGGAAAAGAACGAGAGGAGGCGCGGGGTGGCCAGCGAAGAAGGTGAATTGAAGAGTACCATAGAAGATGAAAAAATAAGGCGCATTGCGCATGATTTGGTTGGTTGTAGGTGATTGGTTCTGTTTGTAGTTGGGAGGGAGGGGGTGGAAACCCATCAGGGCACTGGATGGTTTATGCGGGTGGGTAAATAACATTTACATTATTTAAACTTTGGAGCACTGTTAAACAAAAATAAAAATGATGCGTGCTCCCACTATTAAAGGCGTTTTCGTTTTTTTCACGTTTTTACAGTTTTTAAAAACGATTACATGGTGACCATGAAGGTGATAACGATGGTGATGATGAGAATGAGGATTGTGAGTCGTTCGGGACTCAATGGGTAAATTTTGTCAAGTATTGATGGGTTTTCGGTAGGTCATTGATTTCATCTTTACTCTGTGTCACTCTCGGTGAGTTGCGTTAGTCCGTCAGCTTAGTTGTAACAACTACGTAACAACTGCCGCCCGGGCGTGGCATATGGTCCGCTCTGTAGTTAATTGTACAATGGTGGAGGTAAGGGACCTAACGCGTGTAAGTTGGAGCTTTTGAATAACCGGTGCTATAAATCACCGTATTTATGTCATAAATATATCATACAAACCAGTGCTACAAATCACCGTTTAAATGACATAAATATGTCATACAATCCGGTGCTGTAAATCATACATAAATGGATGATTTTGATTGTGTATAACGGTATCGGAGGGGGGGGGATGATCTTAAATGAGGGATGATCTGACAAAAGGAGTGCTATATAAAGTGCGTTTATGTTGGGTGGGAGGTGGTAAAATCTGTGGCGTATTCTCTGTATTGCTGCAAGCCAATTAATGAAAGAACTTTAATTGGAGATGAAACGTGAGAAGCGTGTGGTGCGGAACGTAAGAATCAGCGGTGCTCCACAATACGTCGGTAGTCCTGTTCGTTCCCTTTATGATGTTCATTTGGTATGAATTTGATCGCGAATTAGTAGCATTTATCCTGTTATGCAAATTTATTGTGACATTTAACGTCAGATTAGGCATTGATTTGTGTTTTCTTGAGAAATTATATGACAAAACGCTTAATACTCGCAGTAATATATCATATAACCAGTAATAATTTTAGAGATATTTAATAGATGAGGGCTGCGATTCCGGTATGAACTAACCCAACATGTGAAAATTTATGCTACTTAAATGAGTAGCATGAGAATTCATTCTACAATAATATCCTTCCTAAATCCACTTTCTCCTCCTCCTAAATGCTTGTTGCATTATAGTGGACATAATCAATGTAGGACGCGGACATTCCCCGGTAGTGTTGTGCAGTGGTGCGGCCTGTTGTCTAGAGACCTAGAACGCTAGGTAACTTAAGGCGTGTCAACTGGACTTTTCGTTGCCACTAACTGCCTCCCGTTGGTATAGTTCCTGCACCATTTACTGCAATTAGAACCAATAAGAGAAACTCTATATAGGAGACTATTATGTTTTGGTTGTTTTCTGCCCAAAATTGTACATAGATAAGGTTTACATTGTACGAAAAAAATTTTGTACCTGTGTGTAATAACTTTATCTTGTTACTGTTTACAAATTCATTTAATATGTGAACAGCTATTAAAGCGAAAAAATTATGTGGGCCCTTCTTGAAGCCAGTTATCATCCCAAAAGAACGTTAATAATACGTTAATAAGGATGAATATATATCACGCGCTCGGAGCACGTTTGGTTTACATTACATGCTTTCATAATTATTCTTTATTGTTCATTCTAAAAAATACTACGTCACATCATTTATAGACTTATCTCAGTTCAACATCCGCAATTATGACTCACTTATGATTGGGTCTGACTCAAATCAATGCTCGTTCCCATTGACTTAAGACTGGTATTTATCCAAGTAAATAACTCTATGCTGAGTCGAATTATAGAGTGTAATACACACCAGATTGAATCCGTCTCCTCTGAAGTATTTCTGACATTTTTAGTATTCATTTAGATGTAGTGCTTTTAATCGGATAATTGATTTGATTCGCACCGAGACATTTTTTAACCGAGTAAAAGATTTCTTTAATAGGTTCTTTAATGCAGATAAGATGTATAAGGCCGCATGGATTAATAATTATTGTTGTGTCCAACACCGGTTCTGATAAGAGTATCTCACAAATACAATTTATAGCAACATATTTCGGGAATTAGGGCGTGGTAGGTGACAACTGAAATAGGTTATATTGGACCCAATTCTTCTACGACCCTACTAATTTATAAACAGTGAAACTTAAGGTATGGTATCAAGGGTTGAATAATAAATCATTGGTTCAATATAGATGTACTTTTTCAATCGTCTTAAGTACTTTTGCACAGAGTTGCAGTGCATCCTAAAATACTGAGAGAATTAGGACCGAGCAGCACGGTACCAACGATGGTTGTGCTGTGGTAAGTGAGCACAACCGTTGAGGTGATAAGATGCCAGTAGGTCCAGAAGTCACGCAGTGATTTGGCGGCAAATCTATCATCAGAATGGTTGGATTCCAGCAAGGAACTAGCGAGGTCTGTGTCTCCAGCGTCATTTTCGAGTGTAGGTAGAGCGCGTCGAGCCTCCAAGTCACGGCGCTTGCGACGTCCCACACACGGGCCCTTGGTCCATCGAACTAGAGAATAACAACCCATGTTACGTCAATCATTTCTGCAAGCAGCATGCCGTATGTTTGATGTCCATTCAATAAATAATATAACATAACTTCCCCAAAATTCAGTTGAGTTTCCCAAAATATTAAACTGGTGATCGCAAGGTTAAATAATTTTACAAACAAATCTATAGTAATTAATGAACGCTGTAAACAAAAATATAAACCGTGCGTTTCCGGTACTCATGTTCTAACTTCGGACTCAAGATTCGGAGCCTTTCTGAAACGAACAAATAAACTAAAGTTTAGAACTAGTGATAATTAAGCGGAACCTGGAATTTAAAGCGAGAAATATTTAAATATCACTAAATTTATACGTACATTCTTGTACAATAAAAACAAAACTGAAGGTACCGCATACCTCTGTGATGGATTACGGAACAATGAAAACTAAAATCTATTCATACGTGAGATCAATTCGTTAGTGATTCACAACAAGATGAAAAATTTGCAATATCCTATAACGGGGTGCGCAGCCGTAGACCAGCAAATCAACGCTCAAATCAGCCCTGGAGCCAACATCAACCATCTAAATTCTAAAAGCCATAGATATTGTCAACCTGGCACCTAAGCAGCCGTAGTCAATATTGACCTATCTCACCACACGAACTTTAAACCAACACTGCGCCAGCACACAAGCTGCTACTCCACATAGATAACGGTCAATACGTTGTTCTCCAATGCTTTTTAACCCATACCATCACTTCTTACACATGCTGCAAATGTAAACTGTACCAAACTGTAATGCGTCATCCCCTTACTTACTCCGCAAGACGTTAACCCCGCGTCACTGTTTCCCTGCCTTACTATCCCCCAGCATGTTCTTCCCCCCACACTTACCCCGACTCTCCACCATTATCGCATGGCTAACTGGATGCTTTTCTCGCAGACCTTTAATGCTTATCCGAGTTAGGTTAGGTTAGGTTACAACTCTTATAGATCTTCTTTTCATAGCGTAATGCAGTCAAGTGAGCAGAAACTAAGAAAAGCCGTCCGGCAGTCGATGAAAAAAGGCGGGGAGACGGGGTAAGCGTGGAGGTAGAGTTATACTGGGGGAAAACAGCTGCGACGAACGGACGGGCTGGAGTGCTGGCTGTGTATCAACAGCGGTATGGCGTAGGGAGTTGCTTACCGAAAATCGTGAGGAGGTTAGACGGCATGGGATAGAGCTGTTGGGCGGTTTTAAATACGGCGTAGAGCGATTGTATTGGTGGCTTACTTCTCATTAGCTCGCTGGTTCATTTCCATGAAGGGGATTTGTACCTTTGGCTTTTAACATATAATCCCGTAGTCTACTCTGCCCTTTAGCAGGCTTACGGACGTAGGGTGCGCAGCCGTAGACCAGCAAATTAACGCTCAAATCAGCCCTGGAACCAATATCAACCATCTAAATGCTAT